ACTAAATTATTTACTTAATTAACTCATTAGCTCAGAGTTTAATTGGGTCGCTTAAAATGACCAAATTCCATGATGTTGAAGTTACATGAACATATTATGTTTGTTTAACGAAACATAGTTATGTGGAACCGGTGGAACCTGTTTACATAAAAAAGTTAAGTAAAGCCAACATATCATTTTTTTGAGTGTATCACTGTATTCATATATAAGCTCTTCAGTATTATCAGCTGATCCTCTACCTATAGGAATATGACGCCTATCACTGTACACATATATAAGCTCTTCAGTATTATCAGCTGATCCTCTACCTATAGGAATATGACGCCTATCACTGTATTCATATATAAGCTCTTCAGTATTATCAGCAGATCCTCTACCTATAGGAATATGACGCCTATCACTGTACACATATATAAGCTCTTCAGTATTATCAGCTGATCCTCTACCTATAGGAATATGACGCCTATCACTGTACACATATATAAGCTCTTCAGTATTATCAGCTGATCCTCTACCTATAGGAATATGACGCCTATCACTGTACACATATATAAGCTCTTCAGTATTATCAGCTGATCCTCTACCTATAGGAATATGACGCCTATCACTGTACACATATATAAGCTCTTCAGTATTATCAGCTGATCCTCTACCTATAGGAATATGACGCCTATCACTGTACACATATATAAGCTCTTCAGTATTATCAGCTGTTCCTCTACCTATAGGAATATGACGCCTATCACTGTACACATATATAAGCTCTTCAGTATTATCAGCAGATCCTCTACCTATAGGAATATGACACCTATCACTGTACACATATATAAGCTCTTCAGTATTATCAGCTGATCCTCTACCTATAGGAATATGACGCCTATCACTGTATTCATATATAAGCTCTTCAGTATTATCAGCTGATCCTCTACCTATAGGAATATGACGCCTATCACTGTACACATATATAAGCTCTTCAGTATTATCAGCTGATCCTCTACCTATAGGAATATGACGCCTATCACTGTACACATATATAAGCTCTTCAGTATTATCAGCTGTTCCTCTACCTATAGGAATATGACGCCTATCACTGTACACATATATAAGCTCTTCAGTATTATCAGCAGATCCTCTACCTATAGGAATATGACGCCTATCACTGTACACATATATAAGCTCTTCAGTATTATCAGCTGTTCCTCTACCTATAGGAATATGACGCCTATCACTGTACACATATATAAGCTCTTCAGTATTATCAGCTGTTCCTCTACCTATAGGAATATGACGCCTATCACTGTATTCATATATAAGCTCTTCAGTATTATCAGCAGATCCTCTACCTATAGGAATATGACACCTATCACTGTACACATATATAAGCTCTTCAGTATTATCAGCTGATCCTCTACCTATAGGAATATGACGCCTATCACTGTATTCATATATAAGCTCTTCAGTATTATCAGCTGATCCTCTACCTATAGGAATATGACGCCTATCACTGTACACATATATAAGCTCTTCAGTATTATCAGCTGATCCTCTACCTATAGGAATATGACGCCTATCACTGTATTCATATATAAGCTCTTCAGTATTATCAGCAGATCCTCTACCTATAGGAATATGACGCCTATCACTGTACACATATATAAGCTCTTCAGTATTATCAGCTGATCCTCTACCTATAGGAATATGACGCCTATCACTGTATTCATATATAAGCTCTTCAGTATTATCAGCTGTTCCTCTACCTATAGGAATATGACGCCTATCACTGTATTCATATATAAGCTCTTCAGTATTATCAGCAGATCCTCTACCTATAGGAATATGACACCTATCACTGTACACATATATAAGCTCTTCAGTATTATCAGCTGATCCTCTACCTATTGGAATATGACGCCTATCACTGTACACATATATAAGCTCTTCAGTATTATCAGCTGATCCTCTACCTATAGGAATATGACGCCTATCACTGTATTCATATATAAGCTCTTCAGTATTATCAGCAGATCCTCTACCTATAGGAATATGCCGCCTATCACTGTACACATATATAAGCTCTTCAGTATTATCAGCTGATCCTCTACCTATAGGAATATGACGCCTATCACTGTACACATATATAAGCTCTTCAGTATTATCAGCTGATCCTCTACCTATAGGAATATGACGCCTATCACTGTATACATATATAAGCTCTTCAGTATTATCAGCTGATCCTCTACCTATAGGAATATGACGCCTATCACTGTATTCATATATAAGCTCTTCAGTATTATCAGCAGATCCTCTACCTTTAGGAATATGATGCCTATCACTGTATTCATATATAAGCTCTTCAGTATTATCAGCTGATCCTCTACCTATAGGAATATGACGCCTATCACTGTATACATATATAAGCTCTTCAGTATTATCAGCTGATCCTCTACCTATAGGAATATGACGCCTATCACTGTACACATATATAAGCTCTTCAGTATTATCAGCTGATCCTCTACCTATAGGAATATGACGCCTATCACTGTACACATATATAAGCTCTTCAGTATTATCAGCTGATCCTCTACCTATAGGAATATGACGCCTATCACTGTATTCATATATAAGCTCTTCAGTATTGTCAGCTGATCCTCTACCTATAGGAATATGACGCCTATCACTGTATTCATATATAAGCTCTTCAGTATTATCAGCTGATCCTCTACCTATAGGAATATGACTCCTATCACTGTACACATATATAAGCTCTTCAGTATTATCAGCTGTTCCTCTACCTATAGGAATATGACGCCTATCACTGTACTCATATATAAGCTCTTCAGTATTATCAGCTGTTCCTCTACCTATAGGAATATGACGCCTATCACTGTACACATATATAAGCTCTTCAGTATTTTCAGCTGATCCTCTACCTATAGGAATATGACGCCTATCACTGTACACATATATAAGCTCTTCAGTATGATCAGCTGATCCTCTACCTATAGGAATATGACGCCTATCACTGTACACATATATAAGCTCTTCAGTATTATCAGCTGATCCTCTACCTATAGGAATATGACGCCTATCACTGTATACATATATAAGCTCTTCAGTATTATCAGCTGATCCTCTACCTATAGGAATATGACGCCTATCACTGTACACATATATAAGCTCTTCAGTATTATCAGCTGATCCTCTACCTATAGGAATATGACGCCTATCACTGTATACATATATAAGCTCTTCAGTATTATCAGCTGATCCTCTACCTATAGGAATATGACGCCTATAACTGTACACATATATAAGCTCTTCAGTATTATCAGCTGATCCTCTACCTATAGGAATATGACGCCTATCACTGTACACATATATAAGCTCTTCAGTATTATCAGCTGATCCTCTACCTATAGGAATATGACGCCTATCACTGTATTCATATATAAGCTCTTCAGTATTATCAGCTGATCCTCTACCTATAGGAATATGACGCCTATAACTGTACACATATATAAGCTCTTCAGTATTATCAGCAGATCCTCTACCTATAGGAATATGACGCCTATCACTGTACACATATATAAGCTCTTCAGTATTATCAGCTGATCCTCTACCTATAGGAATATGACGCCTATCACTGTATTCATATATAAGCTCTTCAGTATTATCAGCTGATCCTCTACCTATAGGAATATGACGCCTATCACTGTATACATATATAAGCTCTTCAGTATTATCAGCTGATCCTCTACCTATAGGAATATGACGCCTATCACTGTACACATATATAAGCTCTTCAGTATTATCAGCAGATCCTCTACCTATAGGAATATGACGCCTATCACTGTACACATATATAAGCTCTTCAGTATTATCAGCTGATCCTCTACCTATAGGAATATGACGCCTATCACTGTACACATATATAAGCTCTTCAGTATTATCAGCTGATCCTCTACCTATAGGAATATGACGCCTATCACTGTACTCATATATAAGCTCTTCAGTATTATCAGCAGCTGTCGAGTTTCTCAGGAGCGCATTACCCTCCTCCCTCCCCAGCTCCTCCTGTCTCAGTCAGCATTCGGCATTATGATTCCCCTTGAATCAGAATAAATTCTCGAATTATGTTGTACTTTAAAATCTTGATTTAATGATATCTGCATACATTCATGTTGGTTCTGTTATGTTTCCCCTAAGGGGGGTTATCGCTGCTCTTATCATGCTAGGCTGACTGGATGCGCAGGGAGTTCTCGCCCAGAACAGAACCACACGCCAATCCAAACTGTATGCTAACTGTCAATCGTATTTGACAATAGTGGTCCTGACAGAAGTGACTATTTATGAGTGAGTTATTGAATCATTCACTCACTCAATTGGTTTAAAAGCCTTGATTCATGCAGGAAGGTGTTGCTCAGAGACGTGCTGTGGTTGAACTGTTGTTAGAAGGAAAGTTACACTGATCCCATAGCTGTTCTCTTCACAAATGATCACAGAAGTACTGGGATACAAGTTTATAGTTCAGATATACACAAAGTAGAGCATATCACCTTTTGAAACTAACTTGATGCTTCAAAAAACAATCGTATCGATTACGTCATTGAATCATTCATTCAAACCAATTTTTAAAAAATAAATCTTTCAAACTAATAAAACATTTTTAAATAGACTGCAGCAATTAACATTTTGTCAAAACTCTAGTAAATGACATGTTATTTTCTTTAGTTGTCTGTTCAGAATCGTGGGATAATCATGATCTCTATTTGAAACGGAAAAAAAATTGTGATTTTTAATTTATTTTTAGTTTTGTTGGTTTGATTTTGGATTTACCCATCTCACTGTGTGATTATAAATGTAACTCTTTTAAAAACATCCGTGGTTGGTTGTCTTGGTTATCAGTCTGGTCTTCAGGATGATTTAATCTTTAATTTAATCTAAAATGATTTAAGGGAATTGCTGGTACTTCAAGCATGCACTGTTTTGTCTTTGGCCAGATGTTGATGAATGTAAGGTCGTGCCTGACCTGTGTGAAGGAGGAAGGTGTATCAACACACTGGGCTCATACCAGTGCCAGTGTCCGGCGGGTTACCAGCAGCACACGAGCTCGCTGAAGTGTGAGGGTGAGTAACATACTCTATCACAAACCATGCCAAAAGGAGAATAGCATGCTTAACTAAATAAGAGACTGCAAATACAATCCCGATAATATAGAGTTCATAAAACCACACTGTAATCATGACCCTGATTGCACAGGAAATGACTGGTATTTTGTGAACAGGTTATAATTGAACTCCAGGAGAAATGTCTCTGTGTCAACACACACATTCTAGCTGATCCCTTTCATTAAAGGCATTCATCTCATGTACAGCTGTTCACAGTATTTTTCTCTTTCCCTGCCTTGCAAGACCAAAATAACAACTTAATATAAATACAATCCCTCAGATGTGGATGAATGCTCCAGCATCGAGCATGTGTGTGATGGAGGACGCTGCATTAATTCAGTGGGCAGCTTCTCCTGTGTGTGTGCGTCTGGATACGTGCCGTCTGTAGACCGTACACGCTGCCTTGGTGAGTTAGACGCCGAATGACTCTTCTGTCCTGTATAAATGTAAGTGCTGATTGGACTGTTACCAGCTTTATACTAAAGACTGAAACCCCTTTTCAAAATGACTATTGTAATGGTCTGTTTATATCTGTGTGCTTTGTACAGCCTTATGCAGCACTTATTAATTAATAATAATTCATTACATTTATATATATGCTTTTCTCAACACTCAAATCTCCTCAACTACCACCCATAGGCAGCATCCACTGGGATTAGTGTGCAAGAATGCAGCTTACTGGTGGAGAGGAGACAGGGTGATGAAGCCAATCAGTGTGTGTATATATTAGTGCTGGACGCGATTAATCATATCCAAAATATGTTTGTGTTTACATAATATATGTGTGTGTGTACTGTGTATAATTATTTTATATATATATAAATACACATGAGTGCATGTATATATTTAAAAAATATATTTATATATAATATAAATTATATATACAGTATATAGTACATGCAAATATTTCTTAAAAATATAAAATAATTATACATGTACAATTATTTACTTGTGTGGCAAGAAGCCGTGTAATAAGCAGGATAATGTACATCCAGCCGGCCGGGGGTTTATTCTGAGATAACAACCGGCTGGATGTACATTATCCCTTACATATATATGGGGATGATAGGGGGCCATGATGGGCAATAGGCAAGTTTGTCCAGGATGCCAGGGTTACATTCCTACTCTTTTTGAAAGACATTCTTGGATTTTTATGACCACAGAGAGTCAGGACCTTATTTGAACGTCTCATCCGAAGGACAGTGCATTTTGACGTTATAGTGTCCCCATCGCTATACTGGGGCGCTAGGACCCACACAGAGTCACAGGGTGAGCGCTTGACCTCGCTAGACCTCTTCCAGCACCAACCCAGTTCCCCATCAGGCAGTGTCCAGGCTCACCCCGGCTCAGCTCCAGTGGGCGGCCAGGCGAGAGCTGCGGAGGGAAAGCTGCCTGTTGAGGCATGTGCTGAACTCTGTCTAAGACCTCAGCCTGTAATCAGCCATGCAGCTTTCCAGACCGAGAAAATGCACCAAATACGCATATGCATTCTTTCATTCATGAGATGGAATAGGACTTTACTGAAATTAAGTGTTCTCCCACCCAGACCTCAAAATGAAATGAACTGACTGTAAATATCCATATGTTTGATTACAATTATAGGTAGCATTTCCCACATTTATTATTCATTATACACCTATCGATCTATCTATCATGTGAATCTCCTACTGAAAGGCACGAGCCTTTGTTGTTCACCTATGCAAGCCTTTCTAAATATACTGTATTGACAGAGAGTGGGATGGATGCCTCTATTTGAACATTCAGTCACTTCCACATGCGCAGTTGTCCTTCAGGCTGAACATGAATGCTGTATCAGTAGATTGTGCTGATGGCAAAAATAACGTCATCCAAGATGGAGCGGAAAGCTAATAAAGGGAAGTATACTTTAGAAGATTAGTCTGTAAACTGTTAAACAACAACAATCCAACCATGTTCTGCTGAGGACTGCTGTTTTCGACATCTTCACGGGGAACAAGAATGACACTGGCGTGACATTATTTGTGTTTCTGCCCATAGTGAGATAACTAGAAGAAATTGGGAAAAAAAGAGTTGAGAATGAAAGCGAACCAAGGCAGCATCAGAGTCTCTTCTGCAATAGTGTAGATGTATAGAGAGATGAACTCTGGCCTCTTTAATGCTGTGTTTAACTGCAGATCAGTGCCAGAGCATGTGTGGATCCGTCGGTCTCTCTATCATGTCTGAGGAATTCTGAGAGTATCCTTTGATTTTAATGAAAGCACATGTACAAACCGCATCCATAAGAGCAGATGTTATGGAATACTACAGTTCAAAGAAATTTCCTGTTCTTTAGATACAGTTTATTATACCTGTGTGTGTGTGTAGTGTTGGTCAACATAGCACAATCCACCAATAACTACAGTCAAGTCAAGTCACATTTATATATATAGCACTTTTTACATTACAGAGTGTTTCAAAGCAGCTTTACAGAGATAACAGGAAAATAATGCAAAAAAGTTTGTTTCCAGAGGAAAATAGTGTCACAGTTCAGCTTAAGTAAGTTAAGTGATGTTTAATTTTTGTTTTAAAAAAGTTATTAATTTAGTTAATTTATCTATATATATATATATATACAGTATATATAGCCACTCTGGGGTAAACCGTGATGTCATCGTCCAGCTCTGTTCAGTTCTTGTAGAATAATTCTTGTGTCAATGCAGGCAGATCAATATTAATGTTGAATATTAAATTAAATGTTAAATTTAATGTCCCCAACTAAGCAAGCCAAGCCAATGGCAACAAAGGTGGAAAAAGGCAACAGTGGCAAAGAACCAAAACTCAGTGGGAGAATGAAGAAAAAAACCTTGGGAGAACCCAGGCTCAGTCGGGGCCAGTTCTCCTCTGGCCAATGAAGGAACAGTGTGTGATAATGATTCAGGCAGCATTACAGGTCAGAAGTCAAATTGGTTTGGAACCATCAGAATATTATCCAGTTCATCTGGTTGAAGATCAGAGTCACGCCGGTTTGTTGAGGATCAGTGCCGATGGCTGTCGTGTCGATGAGGCCTTACAGGGGAGAGTCTAGTTGACACAATCTCTGCTGACACTTCAGGGATGCGTTGTGGTCGTGTCTAGGAGCAGGTCTTTCATCTGATCTGGATACGGGCCGGATCCGGCTGACTACATCATGCGTTGTGGTCGTGTCTAGGAGCAGGTCCACCATCTGATCTGGATACGGCCCGGATCCGGCTGACTACATCATGCGTTGTGGTCGTGTCTAGGAGCAGGTCCTCCATCTGATCTGGATACGGGCCGGATCCGGCCGACTACATCATGTGTTGTGGTCGTGTCTAGGAGCAGGTCCACCATCTGATCTGGATACGGGCCGGATCCGGCCGACTACATCATGTGTTGTGGTCGTGTCTAGGAGCAGGTCCTCCATCTGATCTGGATACGGCTCGGTCCAGCCAGTACTAACTCTGATAGAAAATCAGGAAATTCTTTGATAAAGTCTGTATTAGGGATGCACCGAATCCAGATTTGCGGGGTTCGGCCGAATACCGAATCCACTGGTTAAGATTCTGCCGAATCCGAAACCGAATACCGAATCCTACTCTCATCCTCAGTCCATTAGCACAGTAAACACATTAATGAAGTAAATAATACTGTAAATAATAAACACTACTTTTACTTTTATAACTGTAAAAAGAAAAAAGAAAAAGAAAAAAAAAGCAACATTATGCATTTTAACAGCGGCGATGTTGTGTAGCCTATTTAGAGTCCTTGCCACCATGAGACAAATCGGCATTGCAAATTGAACATGTAGCTCGACTTGAATTGCCTTCTTTCACTGAAAGTACTACCAAACAACATTTTTTCTGCTCACGAGTTCCATTTTCACTTTCTCACAGCCTACTGAATTATATTGAGAACGTCATACATAGAAAACATGCCGTAATGTACCCTGAGTGTAAACCTTAGACGCATTCATTGTGAAGCGTGCAGCTAGCGATTTGCAAAGATTAATATGTTAATATAAAGGTTAATAAAACGTTTCACTCACTTCCGTTCTTCTGGAGGTTCAGCAGGAACACGAATATCTGGTACCGATCCTTTTTTCATGAGCAGCTTCTTAGCAAATCCAGCTTTATACTGACTCTCGTTTATAAAGCAGTCTGGTGAGAAATGATTTGCGCAAACATGAAAGCATTGACGTTGCTCGTGTGGAATATTCCCTTCGAAAACAAACTCAGCCACTGCGTCTTCAGCGGTTCGGATTCAGGAACATTAAAATGACTGTGTTCGATATTACACCCAAGAACAGAACACCACAATCGCTTAGACGCCATTCTGCTCATAGACAGTGCTCCGGCACATCAACAATGACCGCTCCGGTCCGGTCCGGTCCGCGCCGCGCAGACTATGATTGACAGCTACCTCATGTGCGAGGGCGGGTCTGTGTTGAAACGCTCCCGTCAATCAACAATCGTGGGAGGGGCGTCCGTTTTATTGATGTCACAAAAACGAACGGCTTGATTTGAGACAGGGGAAAACATAAGGAGATTAAAACAAAAACACTGGAAACAAAACAAAAAGATTTTTATCATTATATGATGTTTGTGTACAGGCACTGCCAACACACATTTCAGTACAATCAACTTGTAAAAGTGCATGTACCATTATATGACCCCTTTAAGTAACGCTGTGGACGGTAGAACGTGTGACAGACAGTTACACAAGTTCGATTGTGGAATAAAGTGTGAGTTGTGAGATGCCAATTGCCTCCGTGAGTCTGTCTGGCCTCTGCAATAACTTTAGATGTGAGCTATCCCTATTTTTCTTCCTGACACCACGCGTTACACTACAGGCTTGTTCGACTTGAACCGGAGCTGCACAGACAGATGAGTTTATGACATCAAAGTCCCGCGAGAGCAATTCAAAAGCATATGGAGCCGTCTGCTCTCTATTTGTTCACGCGGTACTTTGATGTCATTCACTGATCGGTGACTTCGACGTAGCGCGCGTAGTGCAAGCCTAGGGTTCGGTTCGGTGGAAAACAATTCTGAGGTTCGGCAGAAACCGAAACCCGTTAAAAATCCCAATATTCGGCCGAATCCGAATCCGAATCCTGGATTCGGTGCATCCCTAGTCTGTATGGTGCCCTGGTGGCCTGCATACAGTAGCTAGCACAAATGTCAAGCGCGATTTATCATCTACACTAGATAGTGTTACATTAAGCACCAACATTTCAAACTTCCCAGTAATTCTGAAGATATTAATATAGATTACAGCAACACCTCCCCTTTTCCTTTCAGATGTGGCTCGTTTTTATAACAGTTATCTTGGACGGGGGGGGGGGGGGGGGGACTAATTTAAAGTAAGGTAATCGTCTGTTTTAGTCAGGTTTCTGTCAAACACAACACATCTAGGTTATAATCTGTAATTATATCATTAACAATAAGTGCTTTTGAAGTAAGGGATTGAATATTCAGCAACCCGAGCTTTATAATTTGTTCATTTATATTACATCTGTTTTTTATTTGTTGAACATCAATAACATTTTTACCCTTAAATGGGTTTGGGATTTTTTTGTATGTCCTAATTCGGGGAACAGACACAGTCTCTATATGATGATATCTAGGTGAAAGAGTCGTGATGGGATTTATCTGACCTTGGTGACGTGAGGCCGCTAGCAGACGGTCGGTTTAGCCAGTCTGTCTGCTTCCTGACCTGAGCCCCAGATTGTCATGTTTGAGCTCTAAGACTATATGCCATATTACTAGAGAAGAGCAGCACCATCCCATGAGGGGTCAGGTCTGCCCTAGTCTCAGGCTCAGACGTCACGCCCACGGAACGTTGGCTAAACGTCTGATGCATATGGTACACTTAACTGGAAACACTTCAGGAATGTCGAAGTCGTCATCTGATTGGTTGAATTTTATCGGATTTCCGGGGGGCACGAGTGTCGCGTTTATTTTCGGTCCGCCAGGAAACAAAGCGCAGACGTGTGATTGCGGAAGAAAAACTGTTGTGTTTACATGAGTGACAATGAGCATTTATCAAGATCAGCTGAACGTAGGATTCTCAAAAGTATGCGAGGTTCACGGCATAGACTATTTAAGAGATGTCCAGGAGTTTTGTTTGAGGCACTTAGTGGAGACAAAAAGAGATATTTTAGCCTGTTTGCCGACGGGATTTGGGAAGAGTATTATTTTCCAAGCCTGGCCGACCCTTTGTCAGCATTTAAAAGGATTCCCAGCAGATCCAACTTTACTAGTTGTGTGTCCCCTCCTATCTATTATGGAAGATCAAGTGAAGTACCTAACTGCGAAGGGGATATCAGCAGCGTTTGCGGCCAAACATGAAACAACAGACGCTGACATCGCAGCTGGCCGATTCAGTATTGTGTTCGGTTCTCCAGAATTGCTTGTGGGTGTTAAAAAGTGGAGAGATATGCTTCAAATAGATGTTTAACGCGAGCGTCTCATCGGTATGGCTGTTGATGAAGTGCACGCCATTGTTGTTATACGTGCACGAACAGATCAATGACTTACTGCTTGCTTTCTTCTCCTTCTTTGATTTTCTATGCTGACTGACTTGTTGCACGCTGGTCTGTTGTTGTGGAGACATTTCCACGCCCCGAAACGTGACGCTGAACGAAACGAACTGTAATTGGTTGTTTGACATGTCGGTCAAACGGCCTTATGGGCGGGCCTTGGCCAAAGAAGGCTGCTATGAATTCCAGACCTTCAGCCGTCAGTCTGAAGGTCTGGCTACGCGAGACTAGGTCTGCCCCAAAAACTTTTCCAATTGTCTATGAACCCTATATTATTTTGTGGACACCACTTAGACATCCAGAAATTGAGTGAGCACAGTCTACTAACTATCTCATCACTCCTGCGAACAGGAAGGGGGCCAGAGCAAATTACAGTGCCTGACATCATACTTGCGAGTTCACAGACCTCTTTAACGTTAATTTTAGTGATCTCCGACTGGCGGAATCGAACATCATTAGTGCCGACGTTAATAATAATCTTAGAGAATCTACGATTAGCATTAGCCAGCACTTTTAAATTTGCTTTGATATCAGGCGCTCTGGCTCCCGGCAAACATGTGACTATGGTGGCTGGTGTCTCTATTTTCACACTCCGTGTAATAGAATCGCTATGAACAGAGTTCACTAAGCTAGTCGCATCCAATGCAGTATCTAAAGCCCTTGCACTCTTACTATCCTCGATTAAACTTTGGATGCGTGTCTCTATTTCTGAAATCTTCTCCGTCAGCCTGACTATCTCCCTGCATTTATCAGATGTGTAGCCCTTTGTGCTGACAGGGAAGGCTATACTATACATGTGACACGAAGTGCAAGTGACAATAACAGGAGAAGACATTACTCAACGTGTTTGTTGACTGATCCTACTCACCACAGTTGTTTGATAGACTCGTATAAAGCGAGAGCGAGCACGAGACAGGTTAACAGGCTAGCGAAATACTAGCGTGTTGTGCTAGCGATAACGATTTAGATAAAAGCTTGCGATGTCAGATTAATGCGATAGGCAATATTAGACAATATCTAATATATGTTGATGAGTAAGTTATATTTAGTAATATAAACAACAAGGAATGATAGTAAATAGAGATTCAAAGCAGAAAGCTATACGGAGCATACAGACGCAAACCAGCAGCAAGGCAGGATTACAGGTGATCCCATACAGGATTATTCAGAGGTACTCACACTACTACAAATTATCTTAACAGCCTTCTCTGTACTTCACTGTATGCATAAATGAAGGGCAGACGCGTACATAATACAGACTTGAATCACCTTGAAGTGGTAAATATGCTTTCACCAGTGTTCAATTTGTTCATAACCAGGGGGTCAAATGTTAACCTAAATATCAACTTTTCATGGAGCACCTTTACACTCAGTTTTTCGTTTTTTGGACTAAATGTGTTTTTCTGATTGTGCATGTCAGTGTCTGTTTGTGTGTATTTCAGACCAGCACACAGGCGTCTGTTTTGCGTCAGTAGTGAATGGACGCTGTGCTCAGGAAATCAGCGGACGCTTCAGTAAAATCCAGTGCTGTTGTGACCGTGGCCAGTGCTGGAGTCAGAGCACGGCTCCTCAAACGTGTCCTGTGCCAGGGTCAGGTGACTAATACACACCTTCATATAGGCTCATCCTCTATCATACTTATTTTGCTATTCAGTTTTTTTATTTATTATTTTGGTTACACTTTACAATAAGGTTCATTAGTTAACTACATTAGTTAACATTAACTAAGAATGAACAATACTTCTACAGCATTTGTTCATTTTTGTTAATGTTAATTTCAACATTTACTAATACTTTATTAAAATCTTGTTAACATTAGTTAATGCACTGTGAACTAACATGAACAAACAATGAACAGCTGGATTTGTATTAACTAATGTTAACAAAGATTAACAAAAACAGTAACAAATGTATTGCTCATGGTTAGTTCATGTTAGTTAATACATTAACTAATGTTTAATAAATGAACCTTATTGTAAAGTGTTACCATTATTTTATTATTTGCTATTTATTTTGTTTTTAGTGTACATCCTTCTCATACCAGTTAACATTTAGTCTGTGCTTTTGTTTTTTTATATAATTTAAATGGCAGGATTTGGAATAGCATTAAAAAAAAAAAAATGGATTACAATGATTTAATGTTTTAATTAAAAGGATTGTGTTTTTTTATTACATTAAAAAAAAAAATAGTTTTATTGAAGAAGCAATTTACAGATTAAGCCCTGTTTTTGCTCTGCCAACAAAAATTATTTCAATCTTCTGGAACATAATTTATGTAGTCAGTTACATTGGAGCGAATAGCTGAATTAATACTGCCACTTGAACACAGATTAAGAAGGGTAATGTTCACTCAAGTGATGTTATCAGTCCGTTCAATCGTCCTCCTTTTGTGACATAATGTTGGATAGACTGTTGGGTTTTATAGTCTGCTGTGTGTAGCGATGAGTCGTCCTCTGATGGCCAGGTTATTGAAAATAAATGAATACAAAACAAACAGAACTAAATGAGGACATGACTTGAGCAGGCATAAACATGACCTGGCTTGAACGTAAGCCATGAAAACAGGACTCACTGACAGTGGGTTACATTAACAATACGTGACAAACTTAACATGAAAAACATGAGGGTTAAAATACAAGGTCATGGGGAATGCATGACAAAACCCAACCAATGAACAGGCAGAACTAATTAAGCAAAAACCAATGAGAGGACAGAAATGATAACAAGCTAACAAGACTATGAACACATGATAGGAAATAACCAATGAACATGAACAAAACCTAAACCGAGATGACATAACAGCCGCCCAAACAGAGCACTTAATCAAATGAACAAAAGCCAGAGTCCAGGAGGGTCTTCAGTCTGGAGGAGGAATGGGGTCCGTGGAGAAGTGACCAAGACCATGGAGTCTCTCTCTCTTCTGTTCCCTACAGATGAATACTTCAGCATGTGTCTGGTGGGCTCGGCTCTGAGTGGTTACAGTGAGCAGGATCCAGATACGAACCCTCAACACCCCAGCACCTTCAATCCTACCACTGATGACCAGATACTTCACCCACTCAATGACAATGGACACGGGACACCTCAGATTCAGCACACTCCTCAGATTTCCCACATTCCTCAGATCCCAGGGAATGATAATCGATTTAAACCACAACAACCTGTTTTGGGTGAGCAAAATCTTATGACCAAGAATAAGCCTTTCAGGAAAAAAAAAAAAAATGATTTAAGACGTTTGGTCAAAAATACAGTAACTGTTTTGTATTGTAATATATTGTAAAATGTAATTTATTGCATTTTCAGCATCATTACTCCAGTCTTCACATGATCCTTCAGAAATCACTCTAATATGATGATTTGATGCTAACTAGAAACCAGTTACTTTGAATTGTAATAATATCTCACAATATTACTGCTTTTACTGCATTTTCAAATTAGCTGCATAGCAAAGGTGGGCATAAGAGAACAAAATCACAAGAGAACTAAATCATTAGTTTTGACCAGTTTAATTAAAACAATTTCACCAGTAGGTTTATATATTCTGTGCAAATAAAATTGATCAAACAACAGTCTGTTGTCAAGCTTCTTATGAGTTTTCCCTGATGAGTTTTATTTATTATTTATTGTTTTGCAGTTAGTGTAAACCGGTGTCGGCTGTTCCCTAATCTGTGTGTGAATGGCCGCTGTGTGCCCATGGGCTCGGACTACCACTGCGACTGTAACGCCGGACACAGAGAGGACAGCAGAGGAGAGTGCTCAGGTCATCACCTCCACAACACTGGCTATCTGTCTGCTAATCAACTGTTAGCATTGCCCTGAACGCAAGTCAGACTGTCATGAATTGTGTTCAGTTGCTCAGTCAGTACCAACAGAATGATAAATGGTCCAGAATCTGAACCGAAATCTCAAAGAGCCTCAAAGGCATATTAGAAAATATGGGCAACAATAAACTAAAGCAATGACTTTGACTTACTGATGTGAGTGTTGTGTGTTTTCTGCTCAGATGTAGACGAGTGTGCGTATGAACCCTGCACTAATGGAAACTGCGTCAACACTCCTGGTTCCTACTTCTGCAGATGCCACTCAGGCTTCCTCAGAGTTCCTGGAAAACAGGCCTGCATCGGTGAGAAGAAACACGCAAATTCACAGGGCTAGGCTATATATATATATGGCATCAGTATTTGTATGTGAGGAGGATCGTTCCTCTCGATACAACGTCAGTATTGCAAGTATTTGCACTTATTTTTGCACTTACATTGTGTTTCTCAATCGTTGAGACAACGATTAACGTATATATATATATATATATAGTACACATGTGGAAACTTTAAACAGGTTTTAAACATTTTCATTGCTTCATGATCCTATGATCACCTCCGCATGAACCCTCACGCAGTATAAGTGCAAATACTTGCGATACTGACATTGTATACCAAATGTTTTAACTAATAATTTTCTTAATTATTGTGAAAATCAATGCACAAAATAAACTTAATTTAAACAAATATAGAGCTGCGACAGAAACATCACTATATTACTTTATATTAACAGCACAGCTAAATGTGACATTACAATGGGTTTTTGTGAAGACTGTTTTAAGTTTATGGCTTTCATTTAAACTAAAGTTGAATGGCTATAATTACCCATTTCATCCACATAAATTGGGAAAATATCCATTTAATAATAGAGACATCAGTAGCAGTATTGGTGTCAGTGAGACTGGCCTTCATACACAGGTCATAGTGCGTCTCAACTGGACTTTCCGCTGTCAAAAACTTTTGTCACCCTACACAAGTTCAGTAAATGAAACTCTAATGAGTGCACTAGATCATTTTCCATGGTGGTTTTGATAATGGTCCTATAGGACCAAAATAAATAGTCTACTCTAGGTTTTGTATGTTAGGCTAGACCAGTGTTTCTCAAACTTTTTCTGCCATTCCCCACTTTGAAGGTAGGGAAGGGTTCGTGCCCCACCTGTCCTCATGCAATCGCCCCAACAAAATGTTAATAAACTAGGCTTTAAGTTAAAATGTATTTTATTAACATGACATTTTAAAAACATGAACATGACAGTAGATAAAAATAATAATGCAATTGTGTTTGTATTTTGCCTCTGATAACATCAAATTCAGAAACGGAGAAAATAAAAGTGTGGACTAGTTGTGCTTTGCTTTACTATTTTGTCACTTCGCAAACTGCATGCAAAAAGAACAAACAAAATTGAAAAAGAATAATAATTATCTCAGGGTTTTTCCTGGCTCAAAACGAGGCTGAGGTGGTAAAATCCTAATGTACGTATTTTAGGTATTTTTATTATAATAATTGTATTTTGTATTTTTCGAAGACTATCATATAAGCTACTGTGTTTCCCACAGTATTTTGCGTGTGGTGTGGACCTCTGCACCCCTGGGGGGTCCGGTCCGCGGGCATGCTCCCCGGAAGAAAAGTTTGTACGTTTTAAAGATAAATTCATAAATCTGGTGCACTTTGAAAGTTCAACATTAAGTGATTAACTAATTTAGTGTCTGCAATGAGCCTGTTTTGTAGTATGCTATATTTTGTGAGCCAGAGACGGAGAGCGCTCACCGCTTGACATCACAACTATTCAGTGTTTTCAACCACATAATGTTTATTTTAGGTTTCAGACATTTAAATTCACATAAGTCCTAAAAAAGCAATACATTTAGAGTTTGTCAAATACACACTTATGTCTATGGAAGCGGCAATAATAATTATTTCCATTATAATTAGACGACACGTATTATTCATATCAAATACACATCGTGTAAGTAACTTTCAAGTTTACTCTATGCTTCTCCCAGTTCACCGGCCACTTACTTTCATGTATTTCGGGAGAAGTAGATAAATTGACGTTTGTTAAATCCAACAGATCCGATTCTCTAAAATCCGGCATAAACTAACGCCCATCGCGTATAGCTCAACTAAGGTGTTTAAACAACAAAACGCATCCACTTGCTCATATTTGACAATCGGAATATCAGATATTTCCTGCTATAGCCAACAAATTTGTGAAATAAAAGCAGATAATCAGTCATTCAGCGCTATTGTGGCTGCGGTGTGACAAGCAATGACGCGTCACCATGGAAACCATAAAGGGATACGATCTAAATAACGGGCGCCTCTAAAAACTTTTAAACTTACGTGTGAAAAGGTTAAGTAAGGCTTACATTTAAATGTGTCGTTGTTTTGTTTTGAGTTTATGCTCAATAAATAAAGAAATTAATAGAGATGGGCACAAAAATTACCACATCCCTTACGCAACAAAAATATATGTCTCAATATATTATGTGACAATATATTTCATGTGTCTCCATATATTGTGAAATTTACATTGTAATATATCATATGATATATTATATAATAATATATTATATATATGCAATAATATATTGCAATATATGGGACAATACTGCAATTATTGCCGTTTTCATATATTGAATAAATACATATTATTATACTATTTAATATATGGTTAGGTATATTGAAATATGTCCCATATTATATGAAATTATATATTGGAAGAGGCATTGTATATATGTGAAAATATATATGTAAAATTATATGAGCTAATATACCTCAATGTACCAGATAATATAATCAGATATATATGCAAACATGTCTTAAATATGTCTTAAATATATTGATTTATATTACATAATATATTATATATAATTATCATTTTATATATTGTATACAATAATTTACCATGTGGGGGAATAAAAAGTGGACTAAAAAATGTTGTAATTGTTGCTGTTAATGATAATTTAATTTATACTCTCATCTACATTTTACAATATATGAATCAATACATAGCCATATATGGTCCATCCATATGCCTATATAATGTAAAATATAATGAATGTCATGCAAAAATTTGATTTGGACTATTGTTAATCAACCTTTCTGTAAACCTATGCATGAGCTTACTTAACTCATAAAAAAAATACTTTGTTTCAATAAACATACATGCAATAATGTAATACAGTTTTGTTTGTATATCAATGTATTTTAATATATGAATCAATATATAGCAATAGGATGTCCATCCATATATTGTTATATATTTTCAAATATATGAGGCAGTTTCTGATATTTTGAAATATATTTTCTAATGTATTGCAATATAAATTCTAGTATATTGCAATATATTTTTGTTTCGTAAGGGATTTTCTCCGTTTGTCGCGCCCCACTTGTCATGTTTCCATTCCCCACCAGTGGGGCGCGCCCCACACTTTGAGAAACGCTGGGCTAGACTATGGTGAAGCTATGATGACTTGTGTGATGGTATTGTTTGTAGACATTGACGAGTGTCTTCAGAATGGGGTGCTGTGTAAGAGCGGCCGCTGTCTGAACACAGAGGGCAGTTTTCAGTGCATCTGTAACGCAGGATTCAAGCTCACACCTGATGGGAGAAACTGCATGGGTAAGACACTGACCACCACATAGTCAGCCTTTTTCAGTTCATAGCAGTTATTTGTAATATTTTTTCCACACACAAATATTTTTACTATAATACAGCAATTCTGTCAGGACCACTATTGTCAAATACGATTGAAAGTTGGCATACAGTTTGGATTGGCGGTGTGGTTCTGTTCTGGGTGAGATCTCCCTGAGCATCCAGTCAGCCTAGCATGATAAGAGCAGCAATAACCCCCCTTAGGGAAAACACAACAGAACGAACATGAATGTATGCAGATATCATTAATTCAAGATTTTAAAGTACAACTTAATTCGAGAATTTATTCTGATTCAAGGGGAATCATAATGCCAAATGCTGACTGAGACAGGAGGAGCTGGGGAGGGAGGAGGGTAATGCGCTCCTGAGAAACTCGACAGCTGCTGATAATACTGAAGAGCTTATATATGTGTACAGTGATAGGCGTCATATTCCTATAGGTAGAGGATCAGCTGATAATACTGAAGAGCTTATATATGTGTACAGTGATAGGCGTCATATTCCTATAGGTAGAGGATCAGCTGATAATACTGAAGAGCTTATATATGTGTACAGTGATAGGCGTCATATTCCTATAGGTAGAGGATCAGCTGATTATACTGAAGAGCTTATATATGTGTACAGTGATAGGCGTCATATTCCTATAGGTAGAGGATCAGCTGATAATACTGAAGAGCTTATATATGTGTACAGTGATAGGCGTCATATTCCTATAGGTAGAGGAACAGCTGATAATACTGAAGAGCTTATATATGTATACAGTGATAGGCGTCATATTCCTATAGGTAGAGGATCAGCTGATAATACTGAAGAGCTTATATATGAGTACAGTGATAGGCGTCATATTCCTATAGGTAGAGGATCAGCTGATAATACTGAAGAGCTTATATATGTGTACAGTGATAGGCGTCATATTCCTATAGGTAGAGGATCAGCTGATAATACTGAAGAGCTTATATATGTGTACAGTGATAGGCGTCATATTCCTATAGGTAGAGGATCAGCTGATTATACTGAAGAGCTTATATATGTGTACAGTGATAGGCGTCATATTCCTATAGGTAGAGGATCAGCTGATAATACTGAAGAGCTTATATATGTGTACAGTGATAGGCGTCATATTCCTATAGGTAGAGGAACAGCTGATAATACTGAAGAGCTTATATATGTATACAGTGATAGGCGTCATATTCCTATAGGTAGAGGATCAGCTGATAATACTGAAGAGCTTATATATGAGTACAGTGATAGGCGTCATATTCCTATAGGTAGAGGATCAGCTGATAATACTGAAGAGCTTATATATGTGTACAGTGATAGGCGTCATATTCCTATAGGTAGAGGATCAGCTGATCATACTGAAGAGCTTATATATGTGTACAGTGATAGGCGTCATATTCCTATAGGTAGAGGAACAGCTGATAATACTGAAGAGCTTATATATGTGTACAGTGATAGGCGTCATATTCCTAAAGGTAGAGGATCAGCTGATCATACTGAAGAGCTTATATATGAGTACAGTGATAGGCGTCATATTCCTATAGGTAGAGGAACAGCTGATAATACTGAAGAGCTTATATATGTGTACAGTGATAGGCCTCATATTCCTATAGGTAGAGGATCAGCTGATAATACTGAAGAGCTTATATATGTGTACAGTGATAGGCGTCATATTCCTATAGGTAGAGGATCAGCTGATCATACTGAAGAGCTTATATATGTATACAGTGATAGGCGTCATATTCCTATAGGTAGAGGATCAGCTGATCATACTGAAGAGCTTATATATGTGTACAGTGATAGGCGTCATATTCCTATAGGTAGAGGAACAGCTGATAATACTGAAGAGCTTATATATGTGTACAGTGATAGGCGTCATATTCCTATAGGTAGAGGAACAGCTGATAATACTGAAGAGCTTATATATGAGTACAGTGATAGGCGTCATATTCCTATAGGTAGAGGAACAGCTGATAATACTGAAGAGCTTATATATGTATACAGTGATAGGCGTCATATTCCTATAGGTGGAGGATCAGCTGATAATACTGAAGAGCTTATATATGTGTACAGTGATAGGCGTCATATTCCTATAGGTAGAGGAACAGCTGATAATACTGAAGAGCTTATATATGTGTACAGTGATAGGCGTCATATTCCTATAGGTAGAGGATCAGCTGATAATACGGAAGAGCTTATATATGTGTACAGTGATAGGCGTCATATTCCTATAGGTAGAGGAACAGCTGATAATACTGAAGAGCTTATATATGTATACAGTGATAGGCGTCATATTCCTATAGGTAGAGGATCAGCTGATAATACTGAAGAGCTTATATATGTATACAGTGATAGGCGTCATATTCCTATAGGTAGAGGATCAGCTGATAATACTGAAGAGCTTATATATGTATACAGTGATAGGCGTCATATTCCTATAGGTAGAGGATCAGCTGATAATACTGAAGAGCTTATATATGTGTACAGTGATAGGCGTCATATTCCTATAGGTAGAGGATCAGCTGATAATACTGAAGAGCTTATATATGTGTACAGTGATAGGCGTCATATTCCTATAGGTAGAGGATCAGCTGATAATACTGAAGAACTTATATATGTATACAGTGATAGGCGTCATATTCCTATAGGTGGAAGATCAGCTGATAATACTGAAGAGCTTATATATGAGTACAGTGATAGGCGTCATATTCCTATAGGTAGAGGATCAGCTGATAATACTGAAGAACTTATATATGTATACAGTGATAGGCATCATATTCCTATAGGTAGAGGATCAGCTGATATTACTGAAGAGCTTATATATGTATACAGTGATAGGCGTCATATTCCTATAGGTAGAGGATCAGCTGATAATACTGAAGAGCTTATATATGTGTACAGTGATAGGCGTCATATTCCTATAGGTAGAGGATCAGCTGATAATACTGAAGAGCTTATATATGTATACAGTGATAGGCGTCATATTCCTATAGGTAGAGGATCAGCTGATAATACTGAAGAGCTTATATATGAGTACAGTGATAGGCGTCATATTCCTATAGGTAGAGGATCAGCTGATAATACTGAAGAGCTTATATATGTGTACAGTGATAGGCGTCATATTCCTATAGGTAGAGGATCAGCTGATAATACTGAAGAGCTTATATATGAGTACAGTGATAGGCGTCATATTCCTATAGGTAGAGGATCAGCTGATAATACTGAAGAGCTTATATATGTATACAGTGATAGGCGTCATATTCCTATAGGTAGAGGATCAGCTGATAATACTGAAGAGCTTATATATGTGTACAGTGATAGGTGTCTTATTCCTATAAGTAGAGGATCAGCAGATAATACTGAAGAGCTTATATATGTATACAGTGATAGGCGTCATATTCCTATAGGTAGAGGATCAGCTGATAATACTGAAGAGCTTATATATGTATACAGTGATAGGTGTCATATTCCTATAGGTAGAGGAACAGCTGATAATACTGAAGAGCTTATATATGTGTACAGTGATAGGTGTCATATTCCTATAGGTAGAGGATCAGCTGATAATACTGAAGAGCTTATATATGTGTACAGTGATTGGCGTCATATTCCTATAGGTAGAGGATCAGCTGATAATACTGAAGAGCTTATATATGTATACAGTGATTGGCGTCATATTCCTATAGGTAGAGGATCAGCTGATAATACTGAAGAGCTTATATATGTATACAGTGATAGGCGTCATATTCCTATAGGTAGAGGATCAGCTGATAATACTGAAGAGCTTAAATATGTATACAGTGATAGGTGTCATATTCCTATAGGTAGAGGGACAGCTGATAATACTGAAGAGCTTATATATGTGTACAGTGATAGGTGTCATATTCCTATAGGTAGAGGATCAGCTGATAATACTGAAGAGCTTATATATGTGTACAGTGATTGGCGTCATATTCCTATAGGTAGAGGATCAGCTGATAATACTGAAGAGCTTATATATGTATACAGTTATAGGCGTCAGATTCCTATAGGTAGAGGATCAGCAGATAATACTGAAGAGCTTATATATGTATACAGTGATAGGCGTCATATTCCTATAGGTAGAGGATCAGCTGATAATACGGAAGAGCTTATATATGTGTACAGTGATAGGCGTCATATTCCTATAGGTAGAGGATCAGCTGATAATACTGAAGAGCTTATATATGTATACAGTTATAGGCGTCATATTCCTATAGGTAGAGGATCAGCAGATAATACTGAAGACCTTATATATGTGTACAGTGATAGGCGTCATATTCCTATAGGTAGAGGATCAGCTGATAATACCGAAGAGCTTATATGTGTGTACAGTGATAGGCGTCATATTCCTATAGGTAGAGGATCAGCTGATAATACTGAAGAGCTTATATATGTATACAGCTTATATATGTGTACAGTGATCGTCATCATTATCCTATAGGCAGAGGATCAGCTGATAATACTGAAGAGCTTATATATGTATACAGTTATAGGCGTCATATTCCTATAGGTAGAGGATCAGCTGATAATACTGAAGAGCTTATATATGTATACAGTTATAGGCGTCATATTCCTATAGGTAGAGGATCAGCTGATAATACTGAAGAGCTTATATATGTATACAGTGATAGGCGTCATATTCCTATAGGTAGAGGATCAGCTGATCATACTGAAGAGCTTATATATGTGTACAGTGATAGGCGTCATATTCCTATAGGTAGAGGATCAGCTGATAATACCGAAGAGCTTATATATGTGTACAGTGATAGGCGTCATATTCCTATAGGTAGAGGATCAGCTGATAATACTGAAGAGCTTATATATGTGTACAGTGATAGGCGTAATATTCCTATAGGTAGAGGATCAGCTGATAATACTGAAGAGCTTATATATGTGTACAGTGATCGTCATCATTATCCTATAGGTAGAGGATCAGCTGATAATACTGAAGAGCTTATATATGTATACAGTGATAGGCTTCATATTCCTATAGGTAGAGGATCAGCTGATAATACTGAAGAGCTTATATATGTATACAGTTATAGGCGTCATATTCCTATAGGTAGAGGATCAGCTGATAATACTGAAGAGCTTATATATGTATACAGTTATAGGCGTCATATTCCTATAGGTAGAGGATCAGCTGATAATACTGAAGAGCTTATATATGTGTTCAGTTATAGGCGTCATATTCCTATAGGTAGAGGATCAGCTGATAATACTGAAGAGCTTATATATGTATACAGTGATAGGCGTCATATTCCTATAGGTAGAGGATCAGCTGATAATACTGAAGAGCTTATATATGTATACAGTGATAGGCGTCATATTCCTATAGGTAGAGGATCAGCTGATAATACTGAAGAGCTTATATATGTATACAGTTATAGGCGTCATATTCCTATAGGTAGAGGATCAGCTGATAATACTGAAGAGCTTATATATGTATACAGTTATAGGCGTCATATTCCTATAGGTAGAGGAACAGCTGATAATACTGAAGAGCTTATATATGAGTACAGTGATAGGCGTCATATTCCTATAGGTAGAGGATCAGCTGAGAGTCACTGATGTGAGCTTGACTAACTTGACCTGCCAGAACTGACGCTACGCTTGATTTACATTAGATTAGCCCAAGGCCAAATGAACACAACCTGAATAACATAACAGGATGGGCAGAAATAGAGGCTTAATATGTGGATTATCTGCATTACTCCCTACAATACGAATATGCGATAATAAGAGTTTCCTGTTTCCTCAATCAGATCATGATGAATGTGCCGCCACAAACATGTGTCTCAACGGCATGTGCATCAATGAAGACGGCAGCTTTAAATGTGTGTGTAAACCTGGGTTCACCCTCAACTCCAGCGGCCGATACTGTACAGGTGAACCAACTTTCCCATTTCTAAAAATAACATTTCTCTAAAAATGACATTTACTGAAATTATTCATTTGTTTTTCAAATTTAGTTTGTAGCGTGTGCCTACATTTGAATATTTGTGTGTAAAGTTAATGTGAGTGTGTGTGTGTGTGTCTCTCACAGATATCGATGAGTGCCAGATACCAGGTGTGTGTATGAATGGACGGTGTGTAAACACACAGGGCTCTTTCAGGTGTGAGTGTTTTGCAGGTCTTACTGTAGGAGTAAGTGGCCGCATATGTGTAGGTAAGAGCTAGCTAACACACTTGCATGCACAATAATATATTTGTCTGATTTATTAAAATCCCAAATAAAGGGTACTAATTTGCTTGTGTGGTCTATCTTCATGTATAAGTATGCATGTGCTCTTTGTGGGGCAGTATGGTAACTGATCTTATGGCAGATAAATGAGTGACAGGCCAAATAGCCAATCAAATCGCTGCGTTGAGAAGCCTTGTCATCTGCTATTTTGAAGTTCGTCAAGCTTTACTGAACTTTTGGACATACACAAACCTCTTGTTTTGTTAAATTCCTTTAACAATATTAAAAGGTGTTGTTATGGCACATGTAATTTGGATATGGATATTGGAGCTAAAATGCTAAAAGTTTTTAATTTTACGCCGTCCATTGACAATTCTGAAAGTAACAGAGCCCACTGTTGCTGTAGCAAATGCAACGAACGTGCATCTGATTGATGGATATTCTGCGCACTCTTACTTCAATGTTGTTGTTAGCATGGTGTTAAAGCGCTAAGCTGTCTGCCAAACACAAAGTCAAAAGAGGGCAAGTTTTCAACTGAAACATGAACATGACATTTTAAACGCTAACATTATGTTCTTGCAAATTTAATTTAACTGCTCAGAGGCAGACAAAATTGCTCTTTAAAATCAATCTGAGCTATAGAAATTAATCCTTACATACTCTCTCTACTGGGTACTAAAGCAAAAGATGAATTACTGTCTTAAAACAAATGTTTTTGCGAAACATTTACTTTTTGGCAGCACAGTATTTATTCATAATATCTCATGTTATTAAGATAGATGTTTAACTACAGTTTGGTTAAGGGAAAATCTGTTTTTAAATGTACACAATCAGTTGATTTATATTTTTGCATTTATAATATATATATTTTTTTGTTGTTGTATTTTGTATTATTCCTCGGAAGGATGTTTTGCACAGATGCTCTGTAGTTTAGCTGCACTTGTGGCCCGTGGGCTTTGCTTTTGATGGTATGTCAGACTTTGATGCAGACTGTATTCCTCACATGTTTGTGTTGCAGACACACACATGCGCAGCACCTGTTACGCAGCTGTGAGAAGAGGCGTGTGTGTTCGGGCCTTCCAGCGAGCCGTCACCAAGTCTCAGTGCTGCTGTGCCAACCCTGACTATGCCTTCGGGGAGCCGTGCCATCCCTGCCCCGGCAAACACTCAGGTGAACCTTACCCAGACACACCGAGCACTCATTACTGGACTCGTTTACATGTTGTGTGTTATTTAGTTATTTATTTTTGGAAACAGCTTGCAGAACTGTACTTGCGGTTATTCTACTAATATGAATGATGTGTAACACTTTATATGTGAGGTGGTCCTCTGGAAGGGGGTGTTATTCCCGCAGAGGCCTGCTGGTACAGTATGGTTGTACAGGCCTGAAGACATGTGTTGGGGATGATTCAGACTTGCAGCTTGTTTCTTCATGTTTGTGGTGTGAAGACATTGGTTAAGATGGTGTGAGAATGAGATAGATAAGAGTGTCCAGGAGAACTCAGTTTTGAAGTCTAGGGTCTTCAGAGACTTGTGCGTGTGTTGTGGCATATGGGAAGCACACTGCAGTTTACAGGATTTCTAAACATGGATCTTATTTCCGGCTGTTTATTTTCATGCACTGTTACTCTTAACTCTTAATGGGAGAGTTTTGGGAGGAGAACCCAACCAGGATTAAGAACATATGTGTAGAACATTGATTATATGTTCTTAGTTATATCTGAATCGCAATTGTACTTTTGGAGAATCCGTAGTTAGAACGGGTAATGCGTACAGTGGTAGTTGATCTAAGACTATGTGACTGATATATCCAGTTCTCCAGTAAAGAATCAACGTTGTTACTAAGCTGAGTTATGTGTCCATCATTCAACATGGTGTCAGAAGATGGTTCGTGGAAAAGAGAACGCCTTTGAAGAAAGTCAAGTTTCATCGAAAAGACTTTTCATCGAAAAAAAAAAAAGTTTCGGATACCTCGTGAGAAATGGCTGAAGGCTTCCGAAGACCCGAACTGCTAGTGTTTGATGGCAACATTAGTGAGAACTGGCGCGTATTCGAGCAAGAATACGATATATTTATAGCAGCTGCTCACTCAGACAAAGATGCCAAGACGCAGGCATTTATTCTCCTTAATTTGGCCGGCTCAGAAGCCATCGAGCGGGAGCGCGCGTTTGTGTATGCACCAGCCGTGTATACGGGAGAAGGTGAGCAACGACGGATGATCGCGGAGGCTGAAACCAGAGAGAAACCGGAATGTATAAAACGAAAATTCCGTGAGTTATGCAACCCACAAACAAATATAACCATGGAACGCCACAAGTTTAATATGAGAAACCAAAAACCCGGTGAAACCATAGAAGCATATGTGAGTGATTTAAGAAACAAAGCAAAGACGTGCAGATTTGGTGATCTGACAGACGAACTCATAAGAGACAGGCTCGTGTGTGGCGTGACCAATGATGGTATGAGAAAAATTCTATTGAGAGACAGTGAGTTAACACTAGCCAAAGCAATAGAATTGTGTCAAATCCACGAGCTGACAGATCTGCACACAAAGACTCTTGCAGCGCCTAAAAGCAACACTAACGTGGACAGTATCTACCACAAGACAAAGTCTAAAATTACACAAGGATTTAAACAAAGATCCAACTCTGATCGCACAGGCTCTCAGACCATAGTAAATTGTAATAGTTGTGGAGGCAAGCATGAAGCAAAAAAGGGAAAAATGCTTAGCTTATGGTCAGCAGTGCCACAAATGTAAAAAATGGAATCATTTCCAAAAGTGCTGTAAAACTACACCAAAGCACATGCCAAATAGACGGAGAAGAGCTGTAGACCAGCTCAAACCAAAAGAAACTTCCACAGATAGCGCAGATGAATCCTACTATGTGGATGGAGTTTCACTTGAAAAGGTTGAAACAGCTGCTGTACGAACAGTGGAGAAGAAAACCCCTCAAAAGACTGAGCTAATTTGCACTGTGTACATCAATGGACATTCAGTTGATCTCAAAGTAGACACAGGAGCCAAATGTAATGTCATTTCTGAGGCTTTGTTTATGAAAATAAAAAATGGAGAGGATTTAAACTCATCAAAGAAGACCAAGCTCATAGCCTATGGAGGTGAGGAGATACCCACAGCAGGCTTTGCTACTTTCACCTGTCACTCATCAGAAAGGGCATACAACCTCTCGTTCTACGTGATAAAAAGAAACGTGCAACCATTGATAGGTCTGCCAGACTGCTTACAAATGGAACTGGTTTCGTTCAACAAAGAAATCCATCATGTGACAGCAGATGAAGTTTCAAGCTTTGCAAGCAAAATTCATTCTGAATATTCAGACCTTTTCAAGGATGAGATTGGTAAACTTCCAGTAACATATTCAATGAGACTGAACCCAGCAGTGCACCCAGTTGTAAAACCTGCACGCAAGATCCCAGCAGCCATGCAGGGCAGGGTCGAAGCAGAATTACGAAGAATGGTCAATATGGGTGTTCTTACCCCAATCTCGGAGCCCACCGAATGGGTATCATCAATGGTGGCAACCCACAAAAAGAATACAGAGGAGATAAGACTATGCATTGACCCAAAAGACCTTAATAAGGCACTCCTACGTCCGCACCACCCCATGCGTACTGTAGAAGAAGTCGCATCTAAAATGCCGAATTCCTCTGTCTTTTCCGTCTTGGATGCAAAAAGCTCCTTCTGGCAAATTTCTCTTGATGAAAAATCATCAATGTTGACAACGAAGGACGGGGTCGTGATGAAAGGCCCAAAAGCTGTGATCCCCAAGTCACTGCAGAAAGAATACATCACTATTCTTCATAGAGGGCATCCTGGAGTTGAATCAACAAAACGCAGAGCACGGGGTGTAGTGTTTTGGCCTTCAATGAACAAGGACATTGAGAAGGAATGTGCTTCATGTTCTGTCTGCAATGGTATGAGACCGCACCAACAAAAGGAACCACTGAAGCTACATGATACTCCAGAACTTCCCTGGTCAATTGTTGGAACTGATCTATTTGAATGGAACGGCCAACATTATCTTGTTCTGGTGGACTCGTATTCAAATTGGTTTGAAATAGATCTTCTTCGCAGTCTGACATCCACCGCTGTGATTACCAAATTAAAGAGACACTTTTCAGTGCATGGCTGTCCCCAAAAAGTGATCACAGACAACGGAACACAATTTTCCAGTCAACAATTTAAGAACTTCGCAAGTTCCTGGGATTTCGTTCATGTTACAAGCAGCCCAGAATATCCGCAATCCAATGGATTAGCGGAACGAGCGGTGCGAAGCGCAAAAGAGTTGATGGAAAAATCAAAGCGAGATGGAACAGATGTCTTCCTCAATCTACTCAATCTGAGAAACATACCTCGTGATGGAATTCTTGGATCACCAGCAGAAAGACTTCTGTCAAGACAAACACGGACAACACTCCCAATTGACAGAAAGTTGCTTGTCCCTTCCACCAAAAGCCATGTCATGGTCAGAAAACAACTTGCACACAAGCGTCATCAACAGAAGCTGCATTATGACAAAAGCAGCAAGCCACTCCATCCTCTTTTCAAAGGTGAAGTAGTCCGGGTACAAACACCTCAAGGGTTCAATAAAGTGGGAATAATCAAAGACATCTGCAAGGAACCAAGATCGTACTTGGTGGAATCAGAGGGAAGGGATTATAGAAGGAACCGTAGACACATCTTACCAGTCCCTGAAACTTTGCAACCACAAAATGATGACTACAACCCAGCAGAACATCCAAAAGTTTGTTCACCAGGAAAAGATCAAAGTTTCCTCTCCGATCACACAAGTGCACAAGTGACGGCTACAGACTCTAAATTAAAATCGGAGGCCACTGTATCTGCCAAAGAATCTGAAAGAAAGCTTTATGTGACTAGATCAGGCAGAATCTCGAAACCAAATCCAAAGTATATCTAGTGACCTGCTAAGAGACGGTTAAGCATTGGAGAGAGACTGTTAAAGCTTTTCGAGTAAAATGTTCTGAGTTTCAGTTGTTCATAAAAATGTGACACTTTAAGTGCCAATAGCATATTTGGTTATACATGCTTTGATTTTAAGTTAATGTGGATATTTGTTGTTATATGCTGATGAGAGATTACTAAAGAAAGGGGATGTAGAACATTGATTATATGTTCTTAGTTATATCTGAATCGCAATTGTACTTTTGGAGAATCCGTAGTTAGAACGGGTAATGCGTACAGTGGTAGTTGATCTAAGACTATGTGACTGATATATCCAGTTCTCCAGTAAAGAATCAACGTTGTTACTAAGCTGAGTTATGTGTCCATCATTCAACAATATGGAAATGTACCGCCACTAAGACCGGCTCTGCTTATTTATTAAATTGTTCTGTTTTCTGTCTAGCATGTATTCCATCCATGTCTTTTTTACTTTAATATTTAATACAGATTATGATCTACGTTCCTGTCAATTGTCTTGTAGCTGCTTTTATTTTCCTGTAGTACATATGTGAGTTGGTTTGAGGACTTTGTTTTGCTAACTGGTTGTTAGATGCAGTTTATTCGAGCTAATGCATTCCACCATCTTCTAATATTAGTTTTTATGAAAATTTGAAACAATTACTAAAGCAGTGTGATTTTAACAAAGAAGTTATTATAATGGGAGACTTTAATATCAACTGGGAAGATAAAACCGTAAGAAAGAATCTCAAACAGATAACTGATCACTTTGATCTGAAGCAAATGATTAATGGGCCTACAAGAATAACTAATTCAACAAGTTCTCAAATTGATTTAATTTTTAGTAACCGAGCAGAGAGAATTTTAAAAACTTTTAATATGTTAACAGGCCTTTCTGATCACAGTTTGATTCTAGTGACCAGAAAATTATCTAGCAAGAGATTCAATTCATTCAGAAGGAAATATGACTCTTATGGCATTCCAAAACGTAAACTAGATGATTTCAGAAAGGCAGTTCATCAGATTGAATGTGAGGATTTATTAATCGGAAAAGATCAGGACGAAGACAGTCAAATATTTTCCAAAAAATTAGAGAGCACTATTAATGATTTCAGTTGTAAACTTAATCCTAAAAATAAAAAATATACTGTCCTTGGATTAATTCAGATATCTTAAAATTAATGAAAAAAACGGGATCTTGCTTTAAAAACAGCAAACAGATCAGAGTTTAGTCATGATAGACAACATTTCGCTATGTTACGGAACAAGGTGGTAAAGTCGTTGAGAAAAGCAAAGGCTGATTTTTTTCTGAGGATAATTAATGAGGCTAGATAGCCTGTATAAAACCAGACCATTCTCAGTTGTAACTGAGTTATGGTCTAGCAAAGCGTCATAGACAAATCATTTCCAGAGGGGCGTCACCAACGGACGTCGCGGATAGACCTAAACCCAATCAGAGCGATGAAGGAGATGACGTATGCAGAGCGGCAGAAACGTCTCAGAGTGTTGTTCTTTGCTCGATTTTTAACTAAAAGGAAACGTTCAAATGGCTTAAAACACACGCGATAGCTGATTGGAACGAGTGATGTTCGACGGCGGCATCCATCTTTGTAATGTAGGCTACAAAATCTGCTTCAAAATCCCAGCGCTGTCGTCATCGTGTAAAGCCCGCCCCAACGCTTCTGATTGGTGCCGCGATTTCGGCGGATTGGAAATGGGCTTGAATGAGCTCTTTGCCAGACTAACTTTCAGAGCAAATCTAAATTTGCCGGAAGTTGTCTCTGGGTTTTCCCAGGCTAGAGGCTAGAAGTAATTCAAAAACAATCTGGAATAAGTTGAGCTACTTAAAAGGTGACAAAAGAAAATATAGGTCTTCACTTGAATTGATGGTTAATGGGAAGCTGACTAACAATCCAGCTAAATTCTTGAAAAACTCGAAGAGTCTGTTGGTTTATTTGTATAGGTTGTATAGTATTTACAGTCATTACGTTCCTGTGTATATTGCGTGAATGACGGGTGGTTGGGCAGATATTGTGTTTTGCGGTAGGTGGTATGCCATACGGAACCGTTGACACTGAAACTGCTTTACCAGTGGGGCTCGACAGCCTTAGTCAAACGGGTTGGCGCGTATGGTCGGGTTGCGGAGAGATTGTGATTAGGTCTCAGCAGCAGGAGGGATGTAGAGGTCAGTAAGCTGGGCTGAGTTGAGTGGGGGATGGAGGGGGGTGACTCTGGGACGCCAGAGTCACTGTCGAGCCCTCTTGAGGTGTCGTGGGCTAGTCGACGAAACACTGAGGACGGAAGGTGCCCACTTGAAGACCCTAGAGATGTCCCCTACTCGGCTAAATCCAGACGGTTGTCGTGCTGGTCCACTAGGGAGACCACACTGTAGTTGCAGCCGTCGTGTGTGCTGACGCGCCAAGTACACTGCAGCCATTAACGCCGGACAGAAGGGGAGTCACACCACCATATGGAAAGAAGCGTAAATGGATGGAGAAGCATAGTTAACTGTAAAGCTAGGTCTTAGTGTTGCTTATCTTGGCGAAAGCCGAGTACAAATCAGCATGAAGTTTTAACATCTACTCTCGTGTAATGGAAATCACCCAGCTGATGTAGCCGAAGCACTAAATTATTATTTTGTTGACTCGGTAGTCACAATTACACAATGTTTTTCCCCTAAGTATACAGAAATTTATACAGTTAATACAGGTGAACAAGCCCTTACTCTAAGGGCAGTCTCTGAATTAGACGTCATAAGGACAATTACATCTCTTAAACCATCCAGAGCAAAGGATGTTGCTCTCTTCTTTTGCCATATCTCTCTCTCTCTCTCTCTCTCTCTCTCTCTCTCTCTCTCTCTCTCTCTCTCTCTCTCTCTCTCTCTCTCTCTCTCTCTCTCTCTCTCTCTCTCTCTCTCTCTCTCTCTCTCTCTTCTCTCTTTCTCTCTCTCTCTCTCTCTCTCTCTCTCTCTCTCTCTTTCTCTCTCTTTCCTTTCTCTCATGTTTACTTTGTTTTAGATAATTCACGTTTATTTATTTTTTATTATTATTATTATTATTTTTATTTTTTTTCATATGATGTGTATATGTGTGATGCTCTGTCTCTGTTTTTAGGGTGACCGTTTAACATTCTGTCAAGGGTCTACAGATGAAAAATAGCCTTTTGGGCTAATTCTGGCACGTTTACATTTATGTTTATCAATGTGCATTGCCCCTGTAAATAAATAAATAATAATAAAAATTTGCAAAAGTGTTAGTCTGATTAAAGAAAATCTGTAAAGCATGTTTTCACACAGATATGAGGTATTGTACACTGCTGTCGTGTGTTCTCTTGCTGTTCTAGCTGAGTTTCAGGCCTTGTGTTCGAGTGGTGCTGGATTTTCTGCTGATGGCAAAGGTAATTCTTCATGTTTTATCCTGGAATTAACTACGTAACTTTTACATCGTTTTACAGTCTGGACGAGCCGAAAGTCAGACAAAATAAACAAACAAAGGTAACACTTTACAGTGTCATTGTTACATGTAGTTACTATAGTAATAACAATAAATTATGCATCATTACATGTGACTAAACCTCAACCAAACCCTAATCTAACACTGTAGTAAGTACATAATATTACTCAGCACTTAAATATATAATTACAGTGTAACAAAGACACCTTAAAATAAAGGGTAACCCAAACAAACTAAACCTGGAATAAGAAAATATTTTTTTACCTTTTAAATGAATGTTTAACTTAATACGATTTTGTGTTTCGTTGTGAGGCAGACATTAATGAGTGTGCTCTGGATCCTGATATCTGCCCTAATGGAGTGTGTGAGAACCTCCGAGGAAGTTTCCGCTGCGTCTGCAACAGCGGCTATGAAAGTGACCCGTCTGGCAGAAGCTGTCTGGGTCAGTCGACCTTTACAATGCACAGATGAGTTTCTCTACACCACTCTCACCTGTGGGGATAACATTCAGCACCGTTGAATTCATACAGTTCTACCATTTTAAATATCCATTTAAGGCAAATTGATGTAAATTGACAACACTGTAGTGGTTTCCTGAAGGAATATTGCTGTACAGTGTAAAAAAAGAATAAGAGAGGCTATACGATGTGGAATTACATTAGTCAAATGTTATGTGATGTGTGTGATGACCCAGCGTCCTCCTCTCAGGGTTTGCCGTCTGTGTCTGCAGATATCGATGAATGTGTGGTGAACAGTCTCCTGTGTGATCCCGGGCTGTGCCGTAATGCTCCCGGGAGCTACAGCTGCACCTGCCCGGCCGGATACTCCTTCAGACGCGACACCGAGACCTGCGAGGGTCAGTTACTCAGGCTCTTCTGTCGCTTCAGTCCTTTCGTTTCAGGTCCCTATGTATGTAGAAACATGCTGTAAATTCCAGAGGCAGGTGTTTACAGTATTAAACCCCAAATCAGACATGCCTTGCGTGCCCTCACATGTCTGGTGAAGTAGATCAGTGGTACACTGGTTTATTTTTTAATGTTTTTGAAAGAAGTTTCTTCTGCTCACTAAGGCTGCATTTATTTGATAAAAAATACAGTAAAAACAGTAATATAGTGAAAAATGATTACAATTTTAAATACTGTTCTAATAACTTCTATATGTAATTTATATCCTGTGATCAAAGCTAAATTTCCAGCATTATTACTCCAGTCTTCAGTGTCACATGATCCTTCAGAAATCACTCTAATACGATGAAACATTTCAGATTTATTATCAATGTTGAAACAGTTCTGCTGCTTCATATTTTTGTGTAAACCTTGAAAAGAACAACATTATTTTGAAATAGAATATTTTTGTAACGTAGTCCACTGAAGCAAGTTGCAGTGAACCCAAATTCAGTTTTATTGAACAAACTAAATACAAACTATAGGCTTGACTTGACATGACATAACATGATTTAAGTCATAAACATGAAACATGAAACTCGCCACCAGGGGTTACACCAGGAAAACACTAAACATGATGGCAAGGGAATCACATGACAAGACATGAAACAATAACCAAAACTAGACGTTACACTTTTGCAACATTAATACATGTTTACTGTCACTTTTGACCAATGTAGTGCATCCTTGCTGAATAAAATTATTAATTTATTTATAAAAAAAACATACTTAACTCAAGCTTTTGAATGGTAGTCTATCATGGTTTCCACAAAAATATGAAGCAGCTCAACTGTTTTCAACATTGATAATAATCAGAAATGTTTCTCGAGCATCATATTAGAGTGATTTCTGAAGGCTCATGCGACTCTGAAGACTGGAGTAATGATGCTGAAAATTCAGCTTTGATCACAAGAATACATTACATCTTAACATATATTCACATAGAAAACGTTCCTCACATCAGTCAGATCATTTAAAGTGGACCTATTATGCCCCTTTTTCCAAGAATAGCCCACAGATCATTTATTATACCATGTTATAAATGCCCATGGGTGGAAGGAAAAACAGGCTTTTTTTTGTGCATGTATGTTTTAAATGCAAATGAGCTTCTGCTCTGCCCTCTTTCCAGAAGAGGCGGGTCTTTATCGCGGTCACGCTTACGTGACCGCGATATCATGAAAGTTTATTATCTGCATGCATTTTAAAATCATATCAGTCTAAACCTCTGATATATCGTTATGTCAAGTCATCCTCATTTATATAGCGCTTTTAACAAAGTAGATTGTTTCAAAGTTTCAATTGCTTTACAGAGATAAACATATAATTTAAGGTAACAGAGATTGGTTTACATGTCTGTAAACAGCAAGTAAAGAAATTGCATGTGTATATACACTCACCTAAAGGATTATTAGGAACACCTGTTCAATTTCTCATTAATGCAATTATCTAATCAACCAATCACATGGCAGTTGCTTCAATGCATTTAGGGGTGTGGTCCTGGTCAAGACAATCTCCTGAACTCCAAACTGAATGTCAGAATGGGAAAGAAAGGTGATTTAAGCAATTTTGAGCGTGGCATGGTTGTTGGTGCCAGACGGGCCGGTCTGAGTATTTCACAATCTGCTCATTTACTGGGATTTTCACGCACAACCATTTCTAGGGTTTACAAAGAATGGTGTGTAAAGGGAAAAACATCCAGTATGCGGCAGTCCTGTGGGCGAAAATGCCTTGTTGATGCTAGAGGTCAGAGGAGAATGGGCCGACTGATTCAAGCTGATAGAAGAGCAACTTTGACTGAAATAACCACTCGTTACAACCGAGGTATGCAGCAAAGCATTTGTGAAGCCACAACACGCACAACCTTGAGGCGGATGGGCTACAACAGCAGAAGACCCCACCGGGTACCACTCATCCCCACTACAAATAGGAAAAAGAGGCTACAATTTGCAAGAGCTCACCAAAATTGAACAGTTGAAGACTGGAAAAATGTTGCCTGGTCTGATGAGTCTCGATTTCTGTTGAGACATTCAGATGTTAGAGTCAGAATTTGGCGTAAACAGAATGAGAACATGGAACCATCATGCCTTGTTACCACTGTGCAGGCTGGTGGTGGTGGTGTAATGGTGTGGATGATGTTTTCTTGGCACACTTTAGGCCCCTTAGTGCCAATTGGGCATCGTTTAAATGCCACGGCCTACCTGAGCATTGTTTCTGACCATGTCCATCCCTTTATGGCCACCATGTACCCATCCTCTGATGGCTTCTTCCCGCAGGATAATGCACCATGTCACAAAGCTCGAATCATTTCAAATTGGTTTCTTGAACATGACAATGAGTTCACTGTACTAAAATGGCCCCCATCAAATCCCACAAATCTCCATCAACTGCAAGATGCTATCCTATCAATATGGGCCAACATTTCTAAAGAATGCTTTCAGCACCTTGTTGAATCAATGCCACGTAGAATTAAGGCAGTTCTGAAGGCGAAAGGGGGTCAAACACAGTATTAGTATGGTGTTCCTAATAATCCTTTAGGTGAGTGTAAGATCTGTGTATTAAAGCAGCGTAATATACAGTACTTACTGATATATATGCTGTTAATATGAATCAGATAAAAAAAAACAGAAAATCACTCACTGCTCTTGATTGAATAACTTTAGTTGCTTTAATAAGAATACAACATTACGTGAATGCTGCTGTTAAATGCTCTGGCGAGGAGATTAACATGGCGGACTGTGTACAGCTCACTGAGGGGCGGAGCTATGCTAATATGGCAGATTCTGTGCCAGTCGTGTGCAATGTGACGGCACATTGGACACATTCCTGAACGGCTCTTTTTGAGACACTTGCCCAAGCAGAGGCCGATTGCGATGAAGGCTGTCCCAATTCGAAGGCTCCTCCAAATGCGTCCTCCGTTTCCCGTGAACGTTTTCTCGTTTGCCTACCCCAGAATTCAGTTGCTCCAGTGACGAGAGGATTTTCTTTTGAGAAATTGCCGAATTACACTATAAAATGTAAGTATTGGGTTTCAACTAACTCAAGTATCCAATGATACTAATGTAAAAAAAAAAAAAACACTTTAAAGCTGTTCAAATGGTGACTTATATATTACTAAGATGCGATTATATATAGCTTATACTCTATATTATATACAGAAATTGACAGTGGTGAACATATTTAGACAGTTTGTGAACCCTGCTTTGGTTTCAGACAGTTTAATATAACTTTCAAAAAAGTCTAGTACAAACGTTACAGTCACTCATCAACGGCAGCTGTCACAGATGCTAGGTGATAAGAACAGTCCCCCGTAGGCTAGACCTTCCCATTAAACAACTCTCGTTCCCACCTTCGTGGCCTTTGAAGGATGCAGCCTCTGAATTGGGGCACAGCCACTGTTTCAGACTGATGGGGAAAATAACAAATGGAGTGGATGGATTTTTATCACTATGGTTGTGTACACACTGCAGACACATAATTATGTTCAAAAACAATTTAAAAGTGAATGTTTGATAATAGGTCCCCTTCAACCTTTCAGATTGTCAAAACTATCAGTGTTCTGTTCTCCAGACGTGAATGAGTGTGCGAGCGGGCCGTGTGTTAATGGAGTCTGTAAGAACAGTGCGGGCTCCTTCTCCTGCGAGTGCTCACTCGGAAGTAAACTGGACTCCACTGGACTTTTATGTTTTGGTAAATGTACATGTTAAATCATGCGCACACACTCCTCAAGATGATTTTAATTTCATGATTCACATATGTTGGGGTGGGGTTAACAAATTTAAAAGAAATGTATTTTAATTTGTTTAAATGTTTTTCTATTTAAAAAAAAAGCCTGCCTACTGTGTTATTTTTCTTGTCTGTTATTGTGTGAGTATTTTGATTGTGCTGATGGAGTTTTATTCCCACAGACAGTTTGAAGGGCACGTGCTGGTTAACCCTCCAGGACGGCCGCTGTGAAGTGAACATTAATGGAGCTACACTGAGGTCACAGTGCTGTGCCACGCTGGGAGCGGCCTGGGGAAGCCCATGCGAACCATGTCAAACCGGTATGAAAACACTGTGCTGCTTACTGTACTGAGTTCGAGAAGCATGAGTACTACTGTACTAGACACTACTGTTGAAAAGGTTGGGTTGGTAAGAATTTTTTTTAATGATTTTTAAAAAAGGTCTCATGTTCATTTAGTGCTTTGTAAGTAATCAGCAATATTTTAAAATGTATACGATGTTTAATAGGCAGCCAATGCAGTGTTGACAGAACCGGGCTAATATGGTCATACTTCCTGGTCCTGGTAAGAACTCGAGCTGCTGCGTTTTGGACCAGCTGTAGTTTGTTTATTAAGCGTGCAGGGCAACCACCCAGTAGAGCATTTCTGTCAGGATCACTATCGTCAAATACGATTGACAGTTAGCATACAGTATGGATTGGCGGTGTGGTTCTGTTCTGGGCGAGAACTCTAGCATGTTAAGAGCAGCAATAACCCCCCTTAGGGGAAACACAACAGAATCAACGTGAATGTATTGCAGATATCATTAATTCAAGATTTTAAAATACAACATAATTCAAAAATTTATTCTGATTTAAGGGGAATCAGCTCCTGAGAAACGCGACAGCTGCTGATAATACTGAAGAGCTTATGTATACAGTGATAGGCGTCATATTCCTATAGGTAGAGGATCAGCTGATAATACTGAAGAGCTTATATATGTATACAGTGATAGGCGTCATATTCCTATAGGTAGAGGATCAGCTGATAATACTGAAGAGCTTATATATGAGTACAGTGATAGGCGTCATATTCCTATAGGTAGAGGATCAGCTGAGAGTCACTGATGTGAGCTTGACAAACGTGACCTGCCAGAACTGACGCTATGCTTAATTACAATAATCTAGCCTTGAGGTCATGAACGCATGAACTAACTGTTCCGCATTTGTCAATGAGAGCATATGACGTAATTTATATATATTTTTAAGACGGAAAAATACGTTTTTACAGATGCTAGAAACGTGACTTTCAAATGAATGATTGGTATCAAAGAGCACACACAGGTTCCTAACCGAGGACGAAGACTTGACAGAGCAGCCATCAAGTGTTAGACAGTATTCCAGGTTATTACGTGTGGAAGTTTTTTGGCCAATAATTCGAATATCTGTTTTTTCAGAATTTAGTAGTAGGAAATTACTAGTCATCCAGTTTTTTATATCAGCTATGCATTCCGTTAATTTTGTGAATTGGTAAGTTTCGTCAGGGGGTGAAGAAATATAGAGCTGAGTATCATCAGCATAACAGTGAAAACTAATGCCATGCTTCCTAATGATATCTCCCAAGGGTAGCATGTACAGAGTGAACAGCAACGGTCCTAGTACTAAGCCTTGTGGTACGCCATACTGAACTTGTGATCGATAAGACATCTCTTCATTTACTGCTACAAACTGATAACGGTCAGATAAGTATGATTTAAACCATGCTAATGTAATTCCACTAATGCCAACATAATTTTCGTGTCTATTTAAAAGAATGTTGTGGTCGATGGTATCAAATGCAGCACTAAGATCGAGTAACACTAATAGAGAGATACAACCGCGATCGGATGATAAGAGCAAATCATTTGTGACTCTAACGAGAGCTGTCTCGGTACTATGGTACGGTCTAAATCCCGACTGGAAATCCTTGCAGATACCATTTCTTTCTAAAAAGGAACATAGTTGTGAGGATACTGCCTTTTCTAGTATCTTTGATAGAAAAGGTAGATTCGAGATCGGCCTGTAATTGACTAATTCTGTTGGATCAAGTTGCGTTTTTTTAACAACCGGTTTAATCATAGCCAGCTTAAAAGTTTTTGGTACGTATCCTAATGACAAAGATGAATTAATGATATTAAGAAGAGGATCTATGACCTCTGGAAGCATCTCTTTCATTAGCTTAGTCGGTGTAGGGTCTAATATTACCAGTACATGTTGTCGATTTAACGAGTTTAGAAAATTATTCCTCTCCTATAGCAATGAATGAATCGATATTTTTAGTAGTGATGGGACGTTTGATACCGGGGCTCCGACGCAGTTTTCAAAGCACTATTGTATCGCACACTGTATGCTTGTATCGAAATGACAATACCACGTAGTATCGGAAGGTCGGCACAGCTGCTTTGAAAAGAAATTGGCGCTTCGTGAGAATCGCAACTTCATCTGATGCATAAAAAGGGAATTGATTATGGAGGTGGGATTATTTAAATGATTTAACACTACACTTCCCTACAACATTTATATATTTTTAAAAACGAACACCCAAAATATTTTTTCAATTACTATAATTATGATCACATACTTGTATATTTTATATTATTGATCGATATGTGAATCCGTTGACCAGGCTACATATGACACGAGATGTGGTCTCATTGGCACAAATTAATTTAGATGTGATTAGATCAGAAGAGAGAACGTCTCGGTTACTGATGTAACCCTCGTTCCCTGAAGGAGGGAACGGGAGACGTGACGACGACGTGACGACGTTAGGGGATCACTTCAGGGAGTATCTAAAGAACAAGCCAATGAACGTTGGCGTGCGTGAACGTGTCACGCGTCCCCGCCCCGCAGCGCGGGTATAAAACAGGAAGCGGGCGCGCGCACACACTGTTTTTCGCTGAGGAGCCGAGATAGTGACGGCCGTACAGCGATGGTCAGCAACTGTGGCGGCGGGACGTCACGTCTCCCGTTCCCTCCTTCAGGGAACGAGGGTTACATCAGTAACTGAGACGTTCCCTTTCAGTCGCTCACATTCGACGTGACGTCGACGTGACGACGTTAGGGGATCCCATGGAAAACGCCATCGGTTGCTGCCACATCCAGCGCCCTACGCAAGACTCTGAGACCCCCAACTGCTTGGACGGAAGATCTGCGTAGAGGGAGTCAACTGCTGTTCCATATACCCATACAGTGAACTCTTGGATAACACTGGGAAGCGTGCCTTCCCGGGGGAAGGGGACGCTGCGGAAGCCACATCCTGCCCGAAGGGAGGTAACATGTGGAGAATACACATATGGACTGGCTGGTAGGGGCAGTGCAACATATGGAATGTCACTGGGGTGGCTCCAGCCTAAGAAGGGGGAGGCTACACCAGACAGTGACGGCAGAGCGAGCTCTGCCAAGGGAAAGACACGGGCTCACCGCAGGGAGCTGGTTGTGGAAGAATACTCATTTGGAGCAAAACTCGACTGGAGCAAAAAGCGCACGTATCCGCTCAGTGGAGGGGAGTGGCGCAGCAAGCCAACACTAGAGCGGGAACTTCGGTGTTACCGGCTGGTTGAAGCGAGCACACAGGAAGAAACCGGCTCAACACGTAGGCTATAAAACCTAGCGAGCATGTTAGGTGTCGCCCAGCCCGCAGCTCTACAGATATCTGTCAGCGAGGCGCCGTGTGCCAGCGCCCAAGAAGAAGCGACACTCCTAGTGGAGTGGGCTCTCAACCCGGGCGGGCAAGGCACGCCTTGGGATTCATAAGCCAAGGCGATGGCATCCACTATCCAGTGGGCCATCCTCTGCTTGGAGACAGCCTTTCCCTTCTGCTGGCCTCCGTAACAGACGAAGAGCTGATCTGAGGTCCTGAGGCTTTGCGTTCTGTCCACGTACAGGCGCAGAGCGCGGACGGGACAGAGAAAAGCCAGGGCTGGGTCTGCCTCCTCCGAAGGCAGCGCTTGCAGGTTCACCACCTGGTCCCGGAAGGTAGTGGTAGGAACCTTGGGCACGTATCCGGGCTGGGGTCTCAGGATCACGTGAGAGTTAGCCGGGCCGAATTCTAGGCATGATTCTGTCGACCGAAAATGCATGCAAATCCCCTACCCTCTTGATGGAGGCCAATGCAACCAGGAGTACTGTTTTACAGGACAGAATTTTTAACTCAGCTGACTGCAAAGGCTCAAAGGGTGGTCTCTGAAGTGCCGAAAGGACCAGAGACAAATCCCAAGAGGGTATAGAGAGTGGGTGAGGAGGATTCAATCTCCTCGCCGGGGGGCGAGGAGACTGAATCCTCCTCACCCACTCTCTATACGATTCCTGCCTGATCGTCAGGAATCTGACGATCAGGTCGTGCTTTCCCAACGACTTACCTTCAACTGCATCGTGATGTGCGGCAATAGCGGCAACATACACTTTAAGGGTGGAAGGAGACAGCCTTCGCTCCAACCCATCTTGCAGGAAGGAAAGCACGGCTCTGATCGAGCAAGTTCGGGGGTTCTCCTCGTGAGAAGAACACCAATCAACGAATAGGTTCCACTTCAATGCATAGAGGCGCCTCGTAGAGGGGGCTCTAGCGGAAGTGATGGTGTCAACTACCGCTGGGGGTAGGTCACCAACAACCTCCGCGTCCCGTCCAGGGACCAGACATAGAGTTTCCAGAGGTCTGGACGCGGTTGCCACAGGGTGCCCCATCTCTGAGAGAGCAGGTCCTCTCTCAGAGGGATGGGCCAGGGAGGGGCTGTCGCGAGGAGCACTAGTTCTGGGAACCAGGTCCGGTTGGGCCAATACGGCGCAACTAACAAGACCTGCTCCTCGTCCTCCCTGACTTTGCATAAGGTCTGTGCCAGAAGGCTCACTGGGGGAAACGCATACTTGCGAAGACCCTGGGGCCAGCTGTGTGCCAGAGCATCCGTGCCGAGGGTCCCCTCGGTCAGGGAATAGAAGAACCGGCAGTGAGACGTGTCCGGGGCGGCAAACAGATCTATCTGTGCGGTCCCGAAGCGCCTGAAAATCAGCTGGACCACCTGGGGATGGAGTCGCCATTCTCCCGGTAGCACCTGCTGCCGTGAGAGCTCGTCGGCTGCACGGTTGAGCAGGCCCGGAATGTAAACGGCACGAAGCGACCTCAGATGCTTCTGACTCCAAAGGAGGAGATGGCGGGCGAGTTGTGACAAGCGGCGGGAGCGTAGACCACCCTGATGGTTGATGTACGCACCGGTCGCAGTGTTGTCCGTACGGACCAGTACATGCTTGCCTTGTAGCGACGTTTTGAAGCGGCCCAACGCAAGATGTACTGCTAACAACTCGAGGCAG